CTAGGCTTGGGATCCCGCAGTGTAGACAGTGAGCACTCCAAGTTGCGAGGTAGGAGCGCTCCCAGTGGGGGAAGACGGGACCAGAAGTCAACCCAAGCAGGAGGCACCAGGCAAGGCCCTGCACAGTTGCGCTGGCCAGGGAGGATACCCACGTGGGATGGATTCCCACACCCTCAGCGCCCCCAACAAAGTCATTTTGGGGTGCACAGCAAGAGCCGGAGCCCGGATGTTGTCCTGGCAGCCGGCGACCCTCCTGTCTCCTCAGGAGTATTTGTGCCTGCAGCTTAGCAACCATTTTCTGATCTACACTGAGGGGAAATCAGAAGGCAAAGGGGAGAGGTATACGTGCGAATCCCCAAAATGCACCAATAAAAAAAAAAATGAGATTTTGCTACAGCAAGTACCTTGGCCATGTGCCAACAGAAACCAATGACACAGATTGTTCAAGCTGCTCTTGCTGCTTCTTGTCCCTCCATCCTCCCTTCTACCTTTACCCTCACTCCCAACCCTACCCCCATATCTCACTGTGTTCCCTATACCTCTCAGCTCAGCACCATAAAGGACTGAATCTGCCATAAAATGGTGAATTCAGAGATGCCACCAGGCATGTGTTGAACAAACTTCATTAACTGGTTTGCTGATTTGGGAGTGAACAGTGAACATGCCTTTTTTATTTTTTCTTTTTTAATTCTAAGGATGATTAAGACAAAGATCTAGTCTGAAAACTATAACTCTTATCTCATAAAGACTCCCGTGGCTTCCCAAATTCAAGCGAGCTGATGGTAGGCATTTCCACGTAAACAGGCAGGGGAGTGCAGACACGGAAATCAAAGAACACAAGTGTATGAACATAATAACCATTTCTCCCAGTATTCCCTCCTGCAGAGCTATTCCTGGTCGCTTCCTGTTAGGAATGATTAATTAGTTCAGTGGCTCATCAAAGGAAGGTCCCAGCACAGCTACCTGCCTGTGTATAGAGGAAGGGTCCCGAAAAGTCTGGAACGTGCTGAACAAATTACACTTGGTGAAGATTTTGTTTAAATTTCCAGGATAGTGTTCACTGTGGAATGGCCAACATGTCCTGGTTTGTCTAGAACTGTCCCAAAGTGTTGCAGCCCCTCAGTCCTGGGCAGACCGTGAGGGTTGGTCACCCTGTTGACTGGCACAACCTCAGGCAGGCTCCGAGAGTGGAGAACTCCAGGTCCTCTCTCCTCCTCACACCCGCCAACAGTTTCTTTCCCATGGCGGCTTCCTTCTCATGCTTCTCCCGTATGATGCGGTACAAGCTCTCCCTGCCTGGCCCGGCCTTCTCTGTGCCCAGCCTTCCCCACAACCAGAGCTCCCAGGGGTCCGTTGCTGGGGGAGCCTCGGGGCCAGCACCTGTGTGGCCTCTCATTGTGTGTCCCCTGCTACACACACTCGCCCACCCCACGGACAGTGATTCTCACCACAGGCCTCCCCAGGGCCTCATCCTACCTCACTGCCTGTCCCGGCCGGCTCAGGGATCAATATACAGAAGCCGTAACCCTTCGTCTTTCCTCACTAAAGATAAGCTCTTTCAGAGGAAGGAATGCTTTCCTCCTCTGTGCTTCTCAGCCAAAAGCCTAGCAGAGAGCCCGACACAGATTCAGAGCTCAGCGCATGTCTGTTGAGCTGCAGAATGGAATGAACAGGCTCTTCTCCCATGGCGGGGGATAAGGACATCTCCCGCTGTTGCCAGAGACTCCTCTCCCCAGCAAGACCCTATTCCTTCTAGATTCCCTCCCTCACCTATTCATTAGGGGGAACTACCCCTTGCAGGTGGGGCCCTTATTTGGGCTTTCTACAACACACTGCAGGAGGACCCGGTGTTTCCTGGGAATTGGCTGCCAACCCCACCATGAGCCCAGTTTTCTTAGGGACCCAAACTTAGGAGCACTGCCCTCCCCATTCCCATGGACACACACACACACACACACACACACACACACACACCACTCTTCTACCCCTGTCTCAGCTTTGACCAAATCTGGAGGGTCTGAGCACCTCCCCGGACATCACTAGGTGGTTCTATGTGGCAGTCCCTGGGCCTGCGAGAGTCAGGATGGGATTAGTTCTCTTCAACCAGCAGTTGGAGGACTCGCAGCCTGGGAATTTCTGCTCTGGAGGCTGAGAGGTCTGGGACACACATGCATCAGTAGGACCTCATCTGTATGCATCTAGGTGACAATGTGGGGTACACAACAAAGACAGGGGAAGCTACCAGGAAGGGAAAAGGAGAAAATCATCCAGACGCCATTTTGAAGCTAAGGCTGTGCATGAAACGTAAGGCATTCAGTCACTTCCGGGAGATGGGTAGCTTCTCACATGAGCAGCCAGTTCCTTATTACTTCTTAAAATCAGGAAGAACAGTTGCTTGACTGGAGCGACTTGTCACTTTAACAAAAAGGAACGCAATCCCCTACGATCCACCAAAGCCCCGGTGGCCTTCAGGCTGAGGTTTCACGGCTGTATGTTTGTCTTTGTGGAATTCGCAAATCAGGTATAATCAGTCTTCACCTCCCTTTCATCTGTCCCTTTGTTGTGGGGCACATATGTCCTGTGGGGGTCACAGTTGGTGAAGTCGTTAGTAACAGACTGTTCTACCTGGTGCTGCAGGAGGCACTGCCCCGGAGCCCAAGAGAGGACGCGACACCTCCAGTTAGCTGACAGAGCTAAACTGGGATGTGTTGTGATCATCACCATAGACAAAGAACAAAAACGGTATCACAGGTTTGGCAATGCAGTAAGTTAATAAAAACGTTCCCATGGAAAAATACAAGCTACAGCTGGAGAAGGAGAGACAGGGGTTGATGGGAATTCAGGAAACGGAGAATCAGTGAAATAGTGTGCTTTGGAAAGTGAGGGAGCGATTTATTGGGTGTGACAGGATGGGTGTGCAAAGCGATATGACAGCTAAATAAGCAAAGGGGACTTCACACCCCACAGCCAGCTGCATCTGGTGACCGGCCCACAGCCATTTATTGGGCATCTATTATGTGCCGGGCACGTCGAGCACGGTCATGTCCTCCTCCAGAAACGCTGTGAGGGAGGTATTATCACATCCAACAGAGAAACCGAAGCACCGAGAAGTAGCTCGCCCTGGAGCCGAACCAGTTTGCAGAATCGGAAAGCGACAAACCGGAATCCAATTTTAAAACCTTTTTTTCTATACACTTGAGAACTGGCCACACTACTCGGTGAGTAAAGAGGCCCGTGGGGTCATGGAAGGTGCACGAAGACCAGGAGACAACCTGCCTGGGTTCCAATCCCCGCCCTGCCTCTCGATCACTGTGTGGCTTTCAGAGTGTCCTTAACCTCTCTGGGCCTTAGTTCCTTCAACTGTACATCATCCACACTGGGATGTGGTGACAACAGAGTGAATGTCAGTGCAGGCTCTTGGTGAACTAAGTCGATGGTACAATTACGCGTCTTATGAGCCAACCTGTAAATTGCTGGGATTGTTGCTTCCCTGCTTTGGTCATGACCAGTCAGTTCTACTTCCTGCATCTCAAGTGTTCGTGATCTCAGACCCTGCTCAGTAGAGGTGCCTGGACCGTCAGCCTCGAACGGTTAGTCTGCGGTGAAGGGCTGGGGACGCGTCCTCCGCGGGACCCACGGCTGTCACACAAGCCAGCATCTGCCATCTAAGGAAATTGAGTTCTGAAGGAAAGAGGGTGACAGGGAAGTGATGGTTCTGGAGCCGTCCCGAATGAAGACCGTCGGAGGAAACAAAGATGTAAACGGCCGTGCCATTTTCACATGTTTGACTAAATGAAGAGGAGGGGACCAGTTTAACCCACGTTGCTCCTGAGGTTGGAGCTTGGAAAAAAGGAACAATGGGGGTGGGATCCGGGGCGGGGTGGGGGTGGAAAGGGCTCTGGGCTTCGACAGCTTTGCTAGAAAAACAAGGTGATTCGATTAGACACCGTGTTTTCCAACACTCTTGGACATGCAATTGTGTGTCCTGCAATTCAGTTCCATTCTGACACTGACCCCCCGGAGCTGGAGCAGCCCCTCAAGCTAGGGGGCTCCGTCCCACCTGACTGTCCCCTCTTCAGCTGCCAGCCATAGGTTCTGGGTCCCCAGGCTACCCACACTAGTGTCCGGCTTGACTACAGATTGGAGGGTTCTCCCAGCCCTTTTCAGTTTCGATAACTGACCAGAATGGATGACAGAGCTCAGAAATGTGCTCTATTTGTGATTAGTTTTCTTACAGAGGCGACAACTCAGGAAGAGCTGGATGGAAGAGGGGCATAGAGCAAAGGATGATGGGTGAGGGGAACAGAGCATCCAGGCTGTCTTTGGGGCCATTGCCCTTCCAGCACATCGGTTTGTTCATTGATCCAGAAGCTCCCTGAACCACGTTGCTCCAGGGTTTTTACACGGGTTTCACTGCATAGGCATGGGGGACTCTGCCGTTGGCCCCAAGACTGAATGCAGTCTTAGAGGTCAGAGGACGTCTCCATCACGCAGTTGGTCCCTCCAGTGACCTCCTGAAGCTCCCCAGCCCCCCACCCCAGTCAGCCATCTCATTAACAGACACTCAGGTATGGGGACAAAGGGTCTCATTATGAATAACAAAAAACATCCCCTTCACTCCGGAAATTCCAAGGGTTTTAGGAGCTCTGGGCCAGGAACCTGGGACAAAGGCCAAATATACTTTTCACTATACCGTAGATACACTTTAACATCCCTTCTGTCTCTAACATGATATATTTAGTGGCTTTCAAACTGATCACGAGGTTCAGTTCTGCTCAGTGCAAGAAAATACCTTTATAACTAGAGCTCTCTGGCAATTTCAGGGGCTGCCTCCAAAGGTCTGTGCTACCTGGAGTAGGACGTGATCCAGCCAAGGTTGGATGACCCCAGTGGAGAATGCTGAGAAGGAGATCCCCACATTGGGTGCTAGTTTGGGCCAGATGCTCACTCATCACGATGGTTGGGACACAGTGTAATGTAACTGCCTTGCCTGGTTTCAGAATCGAGAGACACTTCCTTTTTGGATGAACAGCACTGGCAAGAGGGAAGGTTGGCAGCACGGTTGGCACGGCTATGACAACGAGCTCATGGACATGAGGGGCATCTTCCTGGCCTTTGGACCCGGTAGGCAAGACATGACCCATGCTTTGTCCTCCGTTCCCAAAGAAGTGGTCTCCAGGAGGGGCTGACAGCACTAGTAAAGGCTGAAGTGAGTTCTTTATGGACCTCTTTATGAGCAAAGCGGAGCAAACCCAGCTGGTCTCCATGAAACATCTTTTGCTGGCTCGCTTTCAAATGCTTCATAGGTTTGGCAAATGCGGTCAAATGCTTTTCCTTGTAAATTTTAAATCTTGAGCGCAGTGAGGAAAATGTATTCCACATGTTTGTGATTCATTTTTTACTTAATTCATCAAAATGTTATTTCACAGCTATCTGATGTCCAGGAAAGCTTATCAGACACCAGGTTGCTGACAGCTGTGAGTCTCAGAGTTGACGTGATCACTTCACAGGGTCTGACTCTTCCACAGTTCCTCCCTGCCTAGAGCACCCATGCCTGTGGGGGTCATTTGGTTTAGGGCCCAGCCAGAAGCTGGGATGTGCTCAAGGCCAGGCTAGGAAATGACCTTGAGAATGACTTTGAGAATGAGCCAGAAGGCCCAGGGACGGCTTGGATGAGAACAAATGTACTCTGCCTTCCTTGACCAGATAAATTTCTAAGGCTGGAATAGAGAGGAGATGGCGAGGGTCTATTTGGTCATTTGCTTTAATTGACAGAGGACTGTAAATTCACATTGTGGAAACGTTTATCAGACACTCTGGAGATCATACTATGACCCAAACACCCCTTTCTTTCTTTAAAAAAAAAAAAAAAAAGCAGAGGTGGGAGAGGCATTCAACAGCGGCCATCAGCCATCAGTTGACTGGCTCATAAGCTAGTCTTCTCCCTTACTACTGTCCACTCTCCTTATTAAATGTAATAAACTTACCCTGACATCCATAATCCAAGTGCCATTTTCTGGACGTAGATCAGAATGTTTTAGCCCATGACAGTCTGTTCTTCCCTTTCAAAGTATAGGTTAGAAGTCATGCCTAGAAGGTCTGCTCTTCTTCTTGATATAGCAAGACAAAGATCTACGTCGACCCCTCTCATTCCATCTGCCTTGGGTCACTCTACTTACCGCAAAACAGCTGCTGAGAACAACTAGGTGTCTATTTCTGCATGCTCCTTGGGAGCCCCTGGCCTCCTGGGCTTAGGGAACACACTGGTCTAGATCCTTTCCCATATGTGATCCAAGTTCCCAAGTCCTGAAGTAAACATCAGCACCAGTAGCAGCAAACATTTATAGAGTGCTAACTGGGTTCACAACATTGGCCTAAGAGAGTTCAGACGATGCCCAAGCACATTGCCATCAACCAATGACAGTTATTGGGTGCTCCCTGTCAACCAAGCCAGAGGTTATATCTGACCAGCCAGGTCAGATATAACCTCTTACTCTATATTCAACATTAATTCACCAAAGAGCTCAAAAACATAATGAATGAGGGATGGAGTCTTAAGGATTTTGTTGAGGTCAACCGTTCATTAGATTAGGTTGGGGATATTCCAAGGCCGCAGGCTTTATATGGGAGAACATTAAACGTCAGGGCTTTCAATCAAAAGCATCACCTCCTCCTTCCTTAGAAGAGAGAAATAAGATCATGAATGCAAAACAGTTGTCAGTGGAAGGAGTGTTTATAAACAAGAGCCTCAGGCATGTTTTGAAGCAGAAGCAAATCTAGCCTCAAACCCAAATTTTAAGACAAAGTACCCAAAGCTACATTAGCTTAAAGTTAAATTCAGAGGGGAGAGTTTGTCCATCAACAAAGGCCTCCATCATATGCTCCTGTAAAACTAAAGACCTAAACCTTTTATAGACAGATGGGTGACCCCTGATGAAAAGGGACCAGGCCAACTGCAAAAATGTTTCCAGGCAGAGACCGCCTTGAGAGCCTCCCGCAAACCATCACGTTTCTGGCTCCAGTTCTCCTGAAAGATTGAACAGCTTTACACACTGACTGTTTACTCAGAAGAAAATGTAAGAGCGAGGTCTTTAATAGCTATCTAGCTGCACTTGGAGATAAAGGTACATGCCTCCTGATTAATCGTATGCGCTTCTTGCCTAGGGAGGAGGCTAGGCATCATTGCAGCTGCTCAGATGGAGTTTCAGAAGCCAGTAAGTCTGGTCCGGCAGAAAGAAAAGGAAATAATTCTGGAAGATAGCCTCTCTCTGGTTAATCCCAGTTCCTAATTTGAACAACCTAATCTTGCCCTGGAGAACTCCACATTTCAAGATAAGACCGCAGGAGTGTGATTCAGTGAAGCTGCCTGTGAGCTAGGAAGCCTCACCCGGAAAGCAGTCCAAGGTGGCCAGGCCTGGCGTGGGGCTGCAAAACCTTCTCTCTTTAGGAGAAACGGTTTCAATATCCACAAAATTTAAATTCATGGAAATAACCTGGATTGCCAATCCAGGTTCAGCATGCCACCTTGAGTTAGCTGAGGTTGGCCAGGTCCTCTCCAGCTGGATCTGGTATTGTTCTGTTGTTTAGGAATTTTCTAGAAGCTCTCATTCTAGCCTGGATCCTCTATTCTTTGGGCCCAAAGGCCCAGCTCCACAGCACAGGAAGTCATGAACCAGATAGAGTTGGGAGGGAAAACCCAATTCTTTCTGCTTATGTGCATAGGATTTAATTTTGTACTTTCAATGTAAAATCTTTTCTTTTCTTTTTTTGTCAGTAGAGCTTGATCTCAGTTTTTCCTGCTGAGTGTTAAAGACATGGACATTTGGAAGGCTGGGGAAGGATATGTTGAGTTTACTGTTGTCCGCTACCCACACACCCTCCCCACCCACACACATGACAAAGACATGGTCACCACGTGGCAGGGCAGTGTGGTCATCATGTCCAAGTCCATGGCAAGTCGGAAGGAGAGAGAGGAGTTGCTGCTACATCACCATGACAACTTTTCCATTGATTTCTCACACCACAGCTGATTCTTCTCTGGGGAAGTCTAACCACTGTCCTCACCTAGTTGTAATTACCTTGATATTAAGAAGGGTTGGGATTCTGGGGAAGACCTAAATCTCCTCTCCAGGGGGGTTCTGGATTTTGAATAGTTTTTACCATGAGGTGATGCTGCCTTATCCCTTATCCTTCCTGCCCCAAAAGTGAAGTGAATCCGCCAAATAATTTACAGGGTGACATTCTCAGTCCATAGTATGCCCTTGTGGGGTGTTTACTCTACATGCTTATTAATAAGAATAGCTACCATTTATTGAGCAGATGCTGTGTGCCTGGAGCTATGGTTTAGGTACCATTTCTATGCCCATTTCCCGAGCTTATCCAGCTGCTAAGTGGCTGGGGGCTGGTTGTAGAGCCTATTAACTTCTTATGCTAAAGTCAACATTAATTCTCCAAAGTGAGGAAAATCTATCACTTGGGAGGTTGGCCTGGATCTAACATACTTTGTGGGAGAGTTTTCTGAATAAAACTTTTTTCTATACTTGTAATTTCAGGGTTAATATAAGAGCAGGATTTGGTGTTGGCACTTGTGGACTCTGTTGCCATTGGTGTTTGTTTGCTTTTTAAATAAAGCACACGTGATCATTTTAGCAAAGCAATTATAAAGGATTATTTTCTAAGGTAGAAAACTTGGCTTTACAGCCCCCAAACCACCCATTTCCTTTCAAAGTCTTACATGGACTAAAAGCACAAGCAGAGGCCTTTATGGATGGATAAAATCTCCTTCTTGAATTCAAGCTCAATGTAGCTCCGGTTTGGGGCCCAAAAGGGAAACTGTTATGTACGCTACTAACCTCTTACGCTTACTCTTTGAACAGACAAGTACTTGGTATTCAGCCTCTTCTTGGCCTCCTGTGGAGAAGGAGAAGGTGCACTCTTGACTGAAATCCCTCCGTATTCACTAGGCTGTGAACGACTAGCCCTACCTTCTAGATTCCTGCGTCACCGCTAGAGTTTGGTGCAGCCTCTGGGCGGAAGCAAGCACAACACTCTTCTCCACTAGAGCTCTCAGGGCCTTCACCCGGGTCCCTAACTCCAATACCAGTTCGCTTGTTTTCCACTTGGCTAAGTTATTTTATCTGCTAGTGAAAGACTCCCAAGGAATGTTCGGTTGATCCTCCAAACATATTTAAGAAACCAGCGTTGTTGCTTCCGAGGTAGCCAGCACTGAGGAAACCATATAGGTTCACATTCCATGAAGCCCTGAGACCTCGATGTGGCAGGAAAATGAAGAAACACTCTTAAGCGGCTCTGGGGTCCCCTGGCCAACCAGCTGCTGCTAGATAGACGTTCTGGAAGATAAGCATACTGTGTAATTGGGTTTGGGGAGCTCAACGAGACAGTCAACCTTCTGTGACCACACCTGCTCTCCAGGGCTCTGTGGAGATGAGCAGCAAAAATGGAGATGCCCTTCTGCCTCTCCAGGATAGCTCTATTGTCAGGAAGGCACCACAGTTATGCACAAAGACGGTCTGCTGATTTGTCTTTCTAAAGAAACTCATCTCCATGAGCCATAGAAAGCAACGTCCTTTTGTAAGCTATACCCCTTCCAGATACCCTTCCAAGTTCACCATGAGTTGGCCACGTCCCATTGACAGAGCTGATTTCCGGTCCCAAAGCTGCCTGGAGCCTGAGTATAATTCTCTGTGTTATGACTTGGCCCCCTTTCTGCCCAGGGCATGGCTGTGACAACTTGTTTGCTTGCCTTTCCCTTTCAGATTTCAAATCCAACTTCAGAGCTGCTCCAATCAGGTCTGTGGATGTCTACAATGTCATGTGCAACGTGGCAGGCATCGCTCCCCTGCCCAACAACGGCTCCTGGTCCAGGGTGATGTGTATGCTGAAGGACCAGGATAGCTCGGCTCCGTCCGTCCGACCGAGCAGCTGTGTTCTGGTCTTGATTCTCCTCCTACTGTTTGCATAGATGCTGCTATTGTTGTCCCCAAACACTCAGCCAAGTGTGCCTCCATGGTGGGATGGTTTTCATTTTTTATTCAAATAATAGCTTCATTAACACAATCAAGGCCACAAAAATTGTAAATATACTATTCTTGGTTGCTTCCATACAGAAAAAAAAAACATTTTAAATTTCTTAAAAAAATTTTTTTAAACTTCTTTAAAAAAAAAAAAAAAACACCAAAAACCCCAAGCTTTATTTCTTCTGGAGGTAAGGAAAACCCTAGCTTTTCATTGGTTCAACTATATGTCATTTTCTGCATTGTTTTCATGTAGTTACTCAGATGAATTGTCTGAGTAAGAGCCCACCCCTGGGGCAAACAGACTTTGAGTGGATATTGCATGGAGTCTTGGGCCCCTCTGTGTCCTGCCTTGCACAAAGCAGGCCCTTGTCTGTGTCCGGTCCACACCCAGGAGCCATCCCATAAACCCAGGGGTTTATGGCCACAATCCTGTGCTGTTCCTTCCATCCCAGAAAAAAGAAGTCCACATAAAAGCAATAGCTGTCTTCTGTTTTGGGTCCAGCTCATGGAGTCTTTTTAATTTTATACCAAGCCCCAGAAAGGTCATATCTTAGCTTGGCTCACCAATCAAAAGTACCAAGGATTGAAGAACTCATAGAACAAGGTGAAAGATGTGGGTGCCCTCCCAAACTCTTGAGTGCACAAAAATGTCTCCCTTGCCTTGAGGAGCAGAAAGGCTTGCAGCAGACCCAGGCTTCTGTGAGACTTAGCACAGTCTGTCACAACATGGAAGCCTGCACATGGTGGGCCCTATACGTGTGGGTGGACTAATGGATTCCTCGCCACACTTTGGATCCCCAGACAGAGTATAGGCTATAGCAATACCTGACATATCATTACAGGCTGATACATCTTGCTGATGACTTGTGGACATGTTTGCAGAAATCTCAGTTCCCTGCTGGGAATGGTAGCACATTAAGTTCTATGCACCAGTAGTCTTGGAGCAAGGCTTGTGGAATAACACCAGCAGAGTGTATCCTGAGGGACCCAGAAGCCCAAGGAAAATGGTGGGGGTGGGGGTGGGGTGGGGAATGGAGAGAACATGATGGAACTGAATTCCAAACCAATTAGCCATTTGATTAGGAAACAGTTTGGTCAAATTGCCACCTCAGGGACCTAAGTTGTTTGGAAGCCCCTACGAAGAGCCACTGAGCCTGAGTTGAAATGTTTTCAGTTTAGTCATCTAGATTTGCTGTAGGAAATCTTGTTGTGAAACAAAACATAACTGCATGTTTAAATGATCAGAGTCACATAGACATATCATTGCGTTAACTGAGTTTGCACTGAATGGGGCACATCTGCAAAAGAGATTTTCTGTCAGGAAGAGATAGCACATCAGGTCTCCTCAGGATGATGAAGCCCTTTTATAGCGTTTGCCTTGAGAAATGAGCATCAACACTCACCCTGATTCAAGAGGGTTGGGAGCATCTCTGAGCCTTGAGTCGTGAGAGCAAAAGATCACCACTTAAAAAATACATATACCAAATCTGTCATCACAAAAGATTTCTAAGGATTCATGTAACGTGTTTTAAAAGTGCCAGCAAGCCATCAAATCAATTAGGAAGAAGGCAAATCGGCCTTTGCTATTTGGCTGAAAGCAAACTGGTGCTCTCAGAACATTGGGCAGTGGCTGTTGAAATAGGCATCCATTGTTCAAAGTGTCCTTTGTCCGGACAGTGTTCTGTCCAGGACAGTGTTATAATGAATTCAATGGAGCTCACCTTCTTCCCTTGTGAAGGAAGGATCACTAAAAGATATCCAAGTGATTCAGTTAAAAGAGGATCATCAAAATCAAGAGAGTACAAACAGGCACACAGTCTTACATTTGTCTTTCCTGCTCTGTTCTACCATTTTCCCCTCACTCATCCTTAAAAACTTCAAGTTACATAAAAAAAAAAAAAACTCAGATATTTGTCTGACAGAGTGTAGCTAATAAATAATCTTACATAGATGAATGAGAGTAAGATACTTTTGGAATCATGAATGTGGGTAAATAATAAAGAAAATTCAGACCCTAAATGGAGAAAACACCTTTTCCTAAAATAAGGCATACATTTTAGTGGCTTAATTATTTAGCTAGAATTTTTTTCCCTTTGATTTTTGTTTTAAAGTTACATTATTTTCCCCAGGAAATTTTTCTCTAAATGTGTTCTGTTCCTTTGGAGTAAAATCTTGTACATATAGACACCTTTTCTCCTGGATTATGTTGCTACTTCACTACTAATTCCAGGGGAAAGATAATTGGATTGACCTGCAAATACTGAAGATAAACCAAAGGAATGATCCTTACATTAAAGATGAGATGAATGGCTACTTTCCCTGCCCAATGTCTAATCTCCAGAGCCCAATTCAATTAAGTTCTGAAGACCTAAGCATAAATTAGAACAGACCTAGGGACTTCTTTCTAGCCTCGAAGAATCCTGATTATAGAGCCCCAACTCTTTCTACTTTTAAAGAGAACTTGGAAATCCACATCGATCTGAGTTCAGTCACTGATGGCCATTTGCAAACTTCCTGGGATTGTAAGCATCATCTGGCCTGCTTCCAGAGATGTAGGTTTGGAGGATCTGGGTGGGACCTCAGACAGCACTTGCAGGTTTGGGTTTGCTCTATGAAGAGAAAGGTTCTGGTTAGACCTTGGTAGACCTGGGTCTTCTGACAGCAATTTCATAATCCTCCAGTTTCTCCAGAGGCCATCGGACTGGTATCGACTACTGGTCCCAGCTGGGTCAAGCTTCCAGCCCTCTCTAAGCCAAAGCAGATCTGCAAGCCCCAGAGATGGAGAGAGGCACCCAGAGGGGCAAACTTTGCTTCTCCACACTCCGTTCCTGTGAGTCTAGGGTTCCCAAGAGCGCTATCAAACAAACTCATTGTTGAAGACATAGGCCTATTTTATGGATTTTCTAAAAAAAAGTGTTTTTTGCATTTCTGTAAATATCAAAAGACTTCCAAATGTGATTGTGTGTTTAATCTTTTTAAACAATTTTTGATAGACCAAAGTCAGCTCTTGTAAACTACTTGCCAGAAGGAAGGGAGGTGGTAGTCTTGGCAGACTGGTTCTAAAACATGTGAAACTTGGTCTCAGGTGTATGCTATGAAAAATAGACTTGTGTGTGTTGCTTGGAAATCATAAAATAGCACCAAGTACAGTGCCTCAAATGTTTAATAAATGTTCCATAAATATGTGTTGAATAAAAAAATAAATCTCATAAAGGAGATGTGCTTACACTTCAGATATTCTTTGTCTATAGTTCCCCAAATTAAAAGAATAATGCATTTTTGACTAGCTATCTTTTCTTATCACCCAACTGATCATATAATTATACTTCATTCCATGGATTAAACATAGTCCATCCTAGGCTTATGAATTTGATGATGGATGGAAGGAAGGAAGGAAGGAAGGGAGATTAGATTTTGAATATACTAAGCATAATATAATTTTTAGGATAACAGCTTTATCAAAATTTAATTCATATACCATATAATTAATCCACTTAAAGTGTACAATTCAAAGGCTTGATTCAAGTCACAGAATTGTGCAACCATCACCACAATCAATTTGAGAATATTTTTATCACCCCCAAAGAACGCTATATCCACAAGTGCCTTAGTGGATCAGTCCCCATTTCCTGCCCACCCCCCCTCCACCTGTCTTGGGCCACCACTAAATCACATTTTGTCTCTATAGGTTTTCCTATTCGAGGTACTTCATTAAAATGGAATAACAGTATGTTGTCTTTTGTAGCTGGCTTTTTTCACTCAGCCTAATGTTTTCAACGTTTAGCATGAATCAGTACTTCACTCTTTTTATTTCCAAATAGTACTCCATTGTATGGAGTGGCTACATTTTATTTATCCATTATTTAGTCGATGGACATTTGTTTTTTTTCTCCCTTTTTGGATAGTATGAATATTGGTACTCTGAACATTCATGTATGTGTTTTTGTGGACATATGTTTGCATTTGTTTGGGGAATATACCTGGAGTGGAATTGCAGGATCACATGCTAACTCTATATTAAACATTTGAAGAACTATCAGACCATTTTCCAAATTGGCTGCACAATTTTGCATTCCCACCAGCGATGTAAGAGGGTGCAAGTTTCTCCACATCTTCACCAACGCTTGGAATCCGGTCTTTTTTATTATTATTATTATTACAGCCATCCTAGCAGGCATGGTGTGAGATCTCATTGTGGTTTTGATTTGCATTTCTCTCATGATGAACAACGTTGGGCATCTTTTCATGTGCCATTTGTCTATCTTTGTTGAGGAAATGTTTATTCAAACCCTTTGCCCGTTTTTTAAAACTGGATTTTTGCCTTTTTATTATTGAGTTGTAAGAATTCTTTATATATTCTGGATGCAAGTCCCTTATCAGATATATGTTTTGCAAAAACTTACTTTTCCCTGTCCTGTGGGTGTTCTTTTCACTTTCTTTGATAGTATCCTTCATGGTACAAGTTTTTAATTTTGACAAAGTCCAATTAATCTATTTTTCTTTTCATCAGTTGTGCTTCTGCGTCCTATCCAAGAAAGCTTTGCCTGACCCAAGATCATGAAGACTTACTCCTCTAATTTATTCTAGGAGTGTTACAGTTTTAACTCATATTTAGGTCTATGATCCACTCTGAGTTAATTTTTTTCTTTATTGTGTGAGGAAGTGATGGCTAACTCATTCTTTTGCCTGTGGATATCCAGTTGTCCCGGAATTGTTTGTTGCAAAGCATATTGACTTTTTAGAGAAATGTGAAAATGATTCTGTTGGATATAAACACTTTAAAAAAATAATAATAATCACTCCAGAAATGTGAATTTTTTTGTACTTCAGGTTACACAACACTGGATATGCAACACAGTGTTTGTCTTCTCATACTCTCCTTGACCAGGTTAGGCCCCCACTATACTCTGCCTCTATACATTAGCTGCACATAACACCCACTGTGGTTCTCTGTTATACACTGATCAAAATTCTAATCATACAATAATTAAAGTTCTTGTTTATTATTGTCTATTTTTCTCACTGGAATTTCCATTGAGAAAGATAGTGACAATGTCTTATTCACCCAGCAAAATGCCTGGCACACAATAGATATTCAATGGATATCTGCCGAATGCA